AAAAAAAAAAAGGCACACAAATGATTATGAACTAAGAATTTAATCACATCTTCTGCATCCGGGCCAGGGCCTTCTCAAATTGGGCCCACTTCTGCTCCAACGTGCCCGTGTACCCGATCGACATCCTGACTAGGCCCGGCGAGATGCCCGCTCTGGCCTTCTCCTCGTCGTTCATTTCGCTGCTCGTGCTGCTGCCCGAGCACGACATTAGAGTCTCGTAGTACCCGAGGCTGACTGCCATAAGCCCAAATTGGGTGTGGTTCTGAAGGAGGCCCATCAGGCGGTAGGCCCGTTCCTCCGAGCCCATGTCGAGGCAGAGGATGCCACCGTGGCCGTAGCCCGGGTTGGAGATGGACTCGAGTAGGGCGTGGTCCGGGTGGTCGTCGAGGCCCGGGTAAATGACCTTGAGCCCGAGGCCCTTCATACGGGTGGCGAAGACGTGGGCCCGGTGGCAGTGCTCCTTCATGCGGAGGCCCAAGTGGGGGAGGCGCTCGGAGAGCTCGAATGCCACCTTCGGGTTCATGGTGGGGCCCATTATCATGAGGGCTCCCTGATGGAGGTCCATCAGGGAGTTCACTAGCTTCGCGGGCCCGCAAATTGCACCTAATTTTTATTTTTTTTTTTCCGTGTTGCATTAGAATTGTGAAACTAGTGGACAATGGAGGTTCACATGTGAAGTGAGTAACCAAAACAAACTACTTTCAAGTAGAAGAAAATCACGAGAAACAACATTATAAGGACAGTATGTTAGGTAAGATATAGTAATTTAAAGCACATGCAGAGAAATTGTGGGTCCCAGCTCATTATTAATGGAGATAATTTCATATATTAATGCTACAATGTTAACTTAGGAGAATATTAGAGCTTGATTGTTTATGAAATAATTTGTTCAAATTGAGTTATTTTGGTTTACTATAGTTAATTTTGAAAAAAGTGGTATGGTTAATTGTAGTGGAATTTTAAGAATGTATTAAAATAATATTTAAAATAAAATAATTAAAATTGATTTGATGTAAAAGTAAGAGATAAATGATTGGAAATGATTGGAAATGATAGGTAGTTAAAATTATGTGAGTGGATGAATAGTAAATTAAAGTTGATGTGATGTGTAAGAATGATTTGTTTGAATTATTTAATTATATGAATAATATTAAAGATAGTGGGGTTGAGTTAAAGTTGAGTTAGATTTTGAGTTGAAATAAAAGTGAGTAAATTATTTTGTAAACAATCACCCCCTTACCATCCCGTTACGGTTTCGTTATGCTTTTTAGTCGTATATATACTTATAATCTGATAATGTGTAGATAATCCAACACTTACCAAATATAACGGAACCATTCTCTGTTAACTTAATAATAACTGGTAAAATAGAACTTTTGTGTTGCTTTTAGGAGATTATGTAGTTTATTCCAAATTTTTTAAATACCATTTTGAAATTTTAAGAATGTTGTTAGATTCAATTTGAAATTCTTTATTTTTTGAAGGTATTGTTTTGAAATTTCGAAAATCTTTAAAAATCTGTCGGATATTTATTGAGATTCGAAAAAGTTCTAAATTTATTTTCTCCTAATACTTTTTTTTTTGAAATTTTTAAGGCATATTGAGAAATCAAATCTATAGACTTAAAATTATTTATAATGACTTAGAAAAAAAAAAATAAAATTACAAAGTCTTTGATTTAATTGTTTTTTAAATGTTTCAAATTGATAAAATTTATTTGGAGATTTTAAGGCTTAATTGAAGTATTAAAAAAAATACATATCAATTTCCACTACAAAATCTCACCTCTAGCTTTAATCTTAAAGTCTTTATAAGTTTTATAAAACTTTAGAATTGCTCTAAAAGTATCAAATTAAGACATCCTAGATTCTATAGAGTATAAGTTACTTTGTAAATTGATTAATAATAATTTATTAAAACAATTTTCCTCAATCAAAAACTATTTTAATTAAGAATAATAATTGCCATTTTTTGTGGAACCCACCCCCACCATACCCACGTAATATAAAGCACAAGAAAAAAAAAATTAAAAAAAATTAAAAAAAACAATCGGACCTGCGTTAATGTCGGCCGCGCCGCTGATGAACTTTGTGATGCTGTGAACCACCACGTCCGCCCCAAGCTTCGCCGGCGACACCACCATCGGCGCAAACGTGTTGTCCACCACCACCGTCACACCCTTATCGTGCGCTATCCTGCAAAGCTCCGGCACGTTCGCCACCGTCAGCGTCGGGTTCGACATCGTCTCGAAGTACAGCACCTTCACGCCGCCTTTCCCCACCTCCCTCTCCACCTCCGCCAGGTCGCCGATGTCCACGAACGACGTCGTTATGTTCGCCACGCGCGGCAGGAAGTGCGACATCAGCGCGTGTGTCCCGCCGTACACCGTGTTCGACGCCACCAGCCGGTCGCCGGAGCTGCACACCTGGACCAGCACCGACACGATCGCCGACATCCCGGACGCGGTGCAGTACGCCGCCTCCGTCCCCTCGAGGGCGGCCAGCAGCCGGCTGAGGTTCAGCACGGTGGGGTTGAAGTGGCGGCTGTAGACGAAGAAGTCCCGGTCGGGGCCGAGCTCGCCGGCGAACATCCGCCGGAGTGTGTCCGGCTCCATCACCGTGAACGTGGCGGAGGCCTCGATCGACATGTTCACGCCGCCGTGCTCGCCGAACTCGTGCCGGGAGGCCGCCATCGCCGCCGCGGGGTCGGCGGCGTGGTGCGGCGGCGGCGGCAACATCGCGGTGTGGGGCTTCTTGGCGGCGGCGAGCTGGTCCCACTGGTCGTCGGAGGAGCCGGAGCGCTTCTTCAAGACGGCGTCGGCCATTGATGTGTGTGTTTGTGTGTGTGTGGTGGAGGAAAAGAAAAGAGGCTGTGAAAGAGAATTGGGAATTGAGTTGTTGAAGGAGGAGAACTGTGAAAGAATTATTTATAAAGAGAGGTGATTAGATTAGTTGAATCTGGACGTATTTACTTGTACTGGTTAGTAAATCTCTGTTTTATGGTAAGTAATTCAGTTCGGATTATTTCATAATTCTCTTCCCCTGCATAATAATTAATATGTTTATAACT